ACATATATCTGTAATGCAGAGACTTTTGCAAAACAGAGTTGTCCTCTTGAGCCACTTATCTACACAGACTGAAGTTTAAGCCAGCGGGCTGAAGGGGACGCTTCCTCTTCAATCTCTTTCTCTCTTCTCCCCAAGGTCCTGTACTTTAACTTCTGAGTCCATTCCCTAGGTTTCTGCTACCTCTTCCTTTTAGCTCTGCTCTTGGCTCTCTGTCCTTGCCCTTCTCTTTGGATTTGGGGGGTGGTGGTGGATATATAGGAGAAAGTAGATGCTGAGATTGTACACACAGAAGGAGTAGAGGGAGGTACAGCAGCCTTATTTCTTTCAGGTTTGTGATAATCTCAAAGACCATCAGATCTTTCTACTTGTAAGGTGCCCACCTCTTAACAAAAACAGGGGAAATTATTATAATAATGTTTGAGTAGTTCAGTGCATCATATTGTAAGTACAACCCAGGTTGGGTGTTGGGGATTGTTGGGTGGAAGGTAGGGGATGCTCCTCCTCCTTGCGGTCTCTTGAGGATCCAGATTTATGGAGGTTCTGCTGTCTTATAGCTCCACCATCCTGAACATGCAGCCTTCACTGTCTCGGAGGAAGGGGCAGAGCGGGGAGTGGGAAGCATGGAGATGTGAGGTGTGCCGCTTCTGTTTCTATTTCTTGAATAAGACAAATGGCCCCATCTTCCTGCAGGGAAGGCCTTCCCTGTGTTCAGGAAGGAAAGGAAAATTGGATATGAGTGAGAAGCAGTGGTTACTCCCACAGCAAGTTTTACATTTTAGGATATTTTTAGTGTTTGTGTCTTTGGAGGCTGTGTCCACTGTGCATCCTTCCAAACTCGAAGCTGACTCCCATTTGAATGATTGGGAGTTGAATCAAATTCAAATACAAGTCCTTAACCCAAATCTGCTATTAGGAAGAACAAACACGCTCAACTCTGAGTGTGAAAGAAAACTGGTTCAGGAGCTTTTGTGAGGGTCCAGCTTCATTTTCCTTGAAACTTGTTCTTTGCGATACCATGTTTATTCAATTCCCCAAGCTTTGTCAAGTGAGTGGTATTTAATCCGTGAAAAATTTCAAGTGGCCCCCTTTTCTCTCTCAAGCGTTTCTTTTTCTTTTTCTCAAGTGTTGCTGTAGTCATTGTAAAATTGGAACGAACCATTTGATTAAAAAATTATTTATGGCACATCGAGTAGCACTTAGTGTTTTGTCACAACATTAAAGTTGTTTCTGAAGGCCCGTGTGAAATATGGCAGCAAGGTCAGGAGCCTGATGTACAGAACTTCTCCAAACATACCTCACCATTGGAGCTGGTTATAATTCCTGGGTGCTGACATGAAGATTAATAATGTTTAACTCCGATTTTGGCAATTTTTGCCAATTTCGTTGCCATGGTCCTTTTCTTTCAAGTTATTACCTGGAACTGAAGTGATAACAAATGTTTTGTGTTTTATACTGCCAGATAAAAGGTTAAATTTTCATATGTTATATGGGCTTAAGCACACAGGCGCGTGTGCACACATGCACACACACACACACACACACACACACACACACACACCACATACATACACAAATACACACATAATTGGATCAGAAGGAAATGAGTAATTCTCCTAAAATGAAAAGATTGTCTTCCTTTTAACATTAGGTGACTAGTTCCCATGCAGTTGAGTCAGATGTAAAAATTGGAAACTCAACCAATGGGTCTTTAGGCACTGACTATATCATACAGTTCTAATTTTCTTTTCTTTCTTATTTTTTTTTTTATTCTGGGAAATAATAGTGCTTTTTGCTTTGCCAAGTTTTATTATTGAGTCAACTGCCAAAGTTTAAGAGAGAGAGAGTCAAGGGCCCTTAAAATTATTTGGTGTTGAGTGAAGAGGCAAAGAAAAGTATTTCATATTCTCTAACATTTTAACTTTTATGTCTCTACCTGATGTTGGACTATAATCTAAACTTCAAGGCCTTTCTGATTCTTTCTGACCAAGGTACACTGTTGAGTGAAGTCCAAATATTAGTGAGGGTGACTTTAATCCTACTCATTGATACCCAGTTTGAAACTACACATCCCAGTTTTTAATAGACTCTATTCTTTCTTGATTGATCTTCCCTGTATTTAAACTTCTGTGCATCAGAAGGCTTGTGTGCCTGCTTGCGGTTTTGCACCATCTGGAAGTTAAAATTTGACTTTAGAAATGATGTCATACTTGCTTACTGCAAACGGGGCTAATGTTGGTTGAGAATTGGATGCAGTTCAGGTCAAAGTTTTGTCTTAAAGGGGGAAAAAAAAAAGGCCCTTCAGCTTTGTTTCTTGATTGTGGGAGACTGTGCAAAGCTGTAAAGATAGAGTAAAGGTGATTGAAGGGCACGATTCAAATTCCTTTGAAGCTAAGTACATGCTTTTGGGTGCATGGAAAATAAACTCCTAAGCCGAAGACCTGAGCTGGCACAGAGTCCTCCTGCCATGTAGAATTTGGGTGTTACGAGTAGTGTGTTGATCACGACCATCCCTGCTTTCTGGTTTATTCTTGGAGGAAAATTCTTCCAGTCAGGGTTGTTTATTTTGATCTCTCCTGGGCTCAGGAAGATGCAGCTGGGCACTGATAAGTCATGCATGGCGAGAAGGCGCTACACATGCTACATGTATTCTTCGTCGATACAGAGTCTCTTTTCTAAACCCTCGTCAGCACCTTGCACTGCCTCCCATTTTGTAATTGATTTATATCACAGTTTGGGATATTGGGTGTTTTCTTTAGTCCTGGTAGAGACCACCCATCTTTTATAGCTGGAATGCAGGGCTAATGGGACCACAGTTTCCTCTCAGGGTCACACTGACTCCTGGTCAGCCCGAGTTCAAGTCTCCACAACAGAGTGCATGCCCTTACCTATAACCAGTGCCCCACTCTGCTCAGCATGTCCTGCCAATTTACAAGGAACCCACAGATGCCATTCTTTACGTATAAAAAATATTTCTTTTCTACCTGACACGATGAAAATCCAAAGACAAGAACTGATTTTATTCCAGGTTGGTAGGTGCAGATAACTTTAAACAAAGACAGGTCACTCGGGAATGTCTGTGTTTAAACTTCAGTGCAACTGGAATCAATTTTCATTGAGGGGAGGGAAGATCCCCAGGCACGAGCATCCCCTCCACCTTCTGGCCCCTGGGTCTCGATGGTAACTCTGTGAGAAGAGCAGATGTTTGAAGAGTCTGCAGTTCTTGCCTCCGCAGTCACCGGTACCCGTCCTCTCCACACTGCGGTCAGGGTCCTTCTGCCCACTGCGCTTCAGGCTCTTGTCACCCCTTCCTTTGCTGGGACCTCCCAGCTCCATCCTCCTCTCAGGGACAGAAACTGGGAAAACTCTACTCACTCGCCTCCTCATCACTTTTGACGTTTAGGAAGGTCAAACTTGGGCACCCCTTTCTTGGAGGTGTAAGAAATGGAGATTCTACCCTAATAATTGTTTTCTTTCTAATATCAACTTTTCATAATCTATTCTACATAAGATTGATTCCTGTCTCTAAAATCCTAAAATGCCCGGCACTCTGTTCCCACCTTTTGGTTTTATGAAGGGAGAAACTGAGGCTCAAAGGCTGGGTGAGGGGCGCGAGTTGTTTGTCCCCACCCTCACAGCCAGAGAGGGGCAGGCCCCAGCCCTACACCTCCTGCTCTCTTTCCATTGTTCCAGTGAGGCCTCTGACTCTGTCCTCATAGTATTTACGTTGCTGTTTATTGTGGCTCATTATGGCATTTCTTCTTTTTTTTTTTTTTAACTTTTGTCTTTTCCCCCCTTTTCATCATCGTTTTCTTACTCTTAGTGTAGTGAGCACAATTTGCTGTGAGATGCAGCAGTCCCTACTTGTCCCTGTCCCATTTCTTCTTCCCCGAGACAAACTTTTACTCGTTTTGCCTAGTTATTATGATAATATAACTAACAGGCTTTAGCCCTATTTCCCGATTGTCAGTGTAGTTACTACCTATCAAATTCCGGGTATGAGTGAGGATTAAAATCTTCCTTCACTCAAACACCCCACAGCAGCCATGTAATTTTTTTTACATGTGGTCTTCGGGGGGGAAAAAATAAAGCTTACATTTCTTCATTTTATTACTGACATTTGAAAAGCAGGGATTGTAATCTAATTTTTTATTTTTTTCATTTTTTTATTAAGGTATTATATGTGTACATATTTTACTATTGCCCCCCCTCCCACTCCCATACATGCCCTCACCCCCCAGAGTTTTGCGACCATTGGTAATGCTTATATGCATGCATAGAAGTCCTTCGGTTGATCTCTTGTAATAATCTAATTTTTGAAGTAAGATAGAATCAGGCATTTTGGAGATACTTTGTATCTTTTTATTTGTATTCTTTGGAAAGTAGTCTTTCATAAAGCTGGTGAGTGGGTGTCATTTCCACATTTTTTCCCCCTTTAGCAGCATTTACTTCCTCTTGGCAAAATGAATTTTTTAAAAAATATATTTTTATTTATTTCAGAGAGAGAAAGGGAGAGGGAGAGGGAAAGGGAGAGAGAGACATCAATGATGAGAGATAATCATTGATTGGCTGCCTCCTGCAAGCCCCATACTGAGGATCCAGCCTGCAACCTGGGCATGTGCCCTGACCGGGAATGGAACCATGACCTCCTGGTTTATAGATCAGCACTCAACCACTGAGCCATGCTGGCAGGGCTGTATTCTTCTAATTTAGGAGTGTTTTTCTTCATGTTTTTCCTTCACGGTGTCGGGCGTGTCTCTACTCTTTCATAACATCTTCTTTCATAAAAAAGCCTACATTAAAAAATGTATCACTGTTCAGATACACAAGCAGTGGGGCTTTAAGGTGGAGACAGACTGACAGATGCATGGCATCGAGATGCTCAGGAGTGACCGCGCTGTGCTCAGAAGGCCTGCTGCTTCCCACCCCCTCCCCGGGCTTGACTGATGCCTCCCTATGACTCCGCCCCGAAACCACTACCTTCTTTCTTCTTCCGGTTTCAGGTAGATGCGCTGAGATTACGCCTGGAAGAGAAAGAATCCTTTCTCAATAAAAAAACCAAACAGCTGCAGGATCTCACGGAAGAGAAGGGGACGCTGGCCGGGGAGATTCGTGACATGAAGGATATGTTAGAAGTGAAGGAAAGGAAGATCAACGTTCTTCAGAAAAAGGTGAGTAGCGGGCAGTGCCCTTCAGGCTGGGAATGCGTATCATCCACATTTCTGAGCAAGTTGAGAAGCAGAGAGCATTCTTCGAGAAATTTAGGTTAGGCAGTACAAACTGTACCTGACTGGTATTACACTCACCCGTGGTTGTATCGTGTCATTTTTTTAGCTAGGCCTGTTGAGTTTTCCATTTGGTTACCTGAAAACTAAATAGTGGTGATATTTTCTTTTCATTTGCCAGCTTAACCATAGAGAGAATTGTACAAATTTAGATGTAAGTCTAATAACAAGTTCAAAAAATTAAGTCTTTCCTTTTTCCTTATGGAGAGTTGAACAAAGTATTTTGTTGGTTTTAAAGATATCTTTGATGCATTTTGTATATACAAAAACGTCAGTAGATTTTATCCTGCACACCCACATGGATTTTAGGAGGGGGTCAACGTTCACACCCATTACTTACTTAGAGGCCATAGGGAGTGTGTAGTGAGCCCCAACTACAGCGACCTAACACAGAAGATGCATGACCTGGTTAGGGATCTTCTTTCCTTCCTTCTTTCAGGAGCTCATTTTCTCCTTTGGGAGGTGAGGAGGATCCAGATTTTGTGACAACATTTGATTTTCTTTTGGATAATCCCATTTGCTACTGTATGCAGTTTCTTGGGGGGGGGGGGAATAGGGAAAAGGCAGGCAAGAAGAGAAAACCCCTGCTCTTGTAAGAACATGTAGTACAAAGCAGGCAGCCAGCATGGAAACTGGGCAGGAACCAGTGGCGAGCACAAAGCCAGCTGGCAAGGACTCTGCCATAGATAGGCCTGTGGCTGGTGACCTGTGCCGTGGCATCAGGTAAATGGAGTCTAACTGGCCTCTTCTTTGGTGTTATTTGCCATCATCATCTCTCACCTTGTATATATCAACAGCATCCTAGTTGTTTTTCCTGATTCTACCCTTTCCTTTCCTACAGCATCTTCTTTTTTGCTTGTTAATCATCACCCGAGGATATTTTTCCCCCATTGATTTTTAGAGAGAATGGAAGGAAGGGGGAGAGGCACACAGAGAGAAACACTGATGTGAGAGACACATCAGTTGGTTGCCTCCTGCACACACCTTGGCCATGGATGAGCCTGCAGCTGAGGAACTTGTCCTTGCCCTTGACTGGAATCGAGCCCAGGATGCTTCAGTCTAGGGCAGATGCTCCATCCACTGAGCCAAACCAGCAAGGGGCTCCTACAGCCTATTCTTTTTTTTTTTTTTTTTAATATATTTTATTGATTTTACACAGAGAGGAATTGAGAGGGATAGAGAGTTAGAAATGTTGATGAGAGAGATACATCGACCAGCTGCCTCTTGGACACCCCCTACTGGGGATGTACCCACAACCAAGGTACGTGCCCTTGACCAGAATCGAACCCGGGACCTTTCAGTCCGAAGACCGACGCTCTATCCACTGAGCAAAACCGGTTTCGGCTCCTACAGCCTATTCTTAAAACAGAAGCTAGAGCAATCTTTTTAATTTAAAATAGTCCACATCACTCTCATCAAAACTCTCCAGTCACAACCAGCTATATCATCTGTGGGGCCCAGGGAAAAATGAAAATGTGGGGCTCCCTTTTTCAAACTTTATTGTGACTTTCAGGATGAGGTAGTAGCAGAGCATCAAAACCTTCCGAGTGCGGGCCCTGTGCAGCTGCACAAGTCACAAGCCCAGGTAGCTGTGCCCACCGCACTCTCAGGATATTGGTGATCAGATAGATCATATTATTAATTCATTTCTGGCAAGACCTGTAAAGACAAGGCCCTGGTCATTGAATCCCCCCTTTGAAGTTCCAGCTAATTGATACAGATAATTAAAAGATAGCCAGGAAGGGGCCACCAAGGACCTTGGAATTAAAGTGTAAGGCAGGCGGGACTAACAAAAAACAGGTAAGGAGAAGTTTTTAGACCATGTGCTGAGGATTCAAAAGAAGTCTTTTGATTTAAATGTCAAGCAGAGAATGAGGACAAAACTAAACTTCATTTCACGGACTTTTGTTGAATGCTGTGTGTTGGATATACATGCACTGTTCACGTACTCTTTTATTTTTTTCATTTTTTGTTGTTCTTTTTTTCTTTTCTTTCTTCACTTACTCTTGACTGGGACTCTGTGAAGCAGACAGTTATTCAGCCAAGAAATTGAGGGAAACAGGCTTATGGTAGGGTAACCCGAGGTCATACAATCTAGATACAAGTTTGTTTTTTTTTGTCTCTGGGAAAATATGATAAAATGGTTATTACAAATTAAAGGAATACGCCTCATTTCCTCTAGTTTTCTGACTATGACACCATATGTGGGATTGAATCTAGGAAGAACATCACGAGTGTTCGTTTTACCAGGAGGTGAGACGAAGCACTCTCATTCTTGAGAAATAAATAATAATCTCAGTAAGGATTTGGGAGAGGCACTTTTCATGCATAAGGGACAAATGTCCACTTGTGCCAATGTGCATATTTTATAAAATTTTAAACTTTCTCCACAGATAGACTCAAAGGTTTGGCAACCAGTTTGAAAGCCCTAAAACAAAAGTGCTTGGTTTTACCATGGCTCCTTGGGCAACATGATCACAAGTCCACTTACTTAAACCATGTAGATAATGAATTTGGAAATATGTCATGTATAATTGAAGAGGTTATTCCGCTCAGGTCTTTTCCAGTGAGTGTTTCCCAGTACATTAGGGGAGGAACTAATACCACTGGCCACACAGTGAGTGTGTGGGAGTTCTGTTATACCTGTTATGAGAAAGAGAGACAGTTCCTACGGTGATGAACACCGTTCAGAACCCAATTCAGAATATGGAAATAGTACAGAAGCTAATGGGAAGTTGGAATTGAATACTCCTTAGTGTTTTGCCTTAATTCAAGCATGATTGGCCGCGTTAGGGCAAGCCTGAATAGGAACAGCATAAGCTTTGGGTTAGGGTAGATTGGCATAGCACAGTGGTCGGCAAACTCATTAGTCAACAGAGCCAAATATCAACAATACAACGATTGAAATTTCTTTTGAGAGCCACATTGTTTAAACTTAAACTTCTCCTAACGCCCCTTCTTCAAAATAGACTCGCTCAGGCCGTGGTATTTTGTGGAAGAGCCACACTCAAGGGGCCAAAGCGCCGCATGTGGCTGGCGAGCCGCTGTTTGCAGGCTACTGGAAGAATAACAAACGCATGTCAATGTCAGAGGTGCCGTATTACTTAATATTTCTTCCTCATAGACTCGTTGGCAGCGGGCGCCGTGTTTTGATGCCAGGAGAACTGGGTATGCGCCTTTCATAGCCATGTTTAACCTGGTGAGGCTAGACTTGCACCTCGAATCTGTCAGCTTTGCCTTCAGAGCTCTGGGTTTTGGAAGTCTTGTGTCACATGTTAGTGCAGCAGGCACGGACCTGATACTCTAACAGTTTTGCTACTTGAAGAAGGAAGTGAAGTTTAATAGACACTGGCCCTACTCCCCCCCCCCCCCCCCCCCCCACGTGTCAGAGTATCTCTGATCAAGCTTTTGTAGGAAAATGGAAGTCATCAGTAATGGATTTTTGGTCCTTCCACCATAGTTTTGGTTCTCCTCCATAATCTAAGATATGGAATTCTTTTTATGAGGGAATAGAAGGATGCATGGATGAAAATTGTTCCGTGGAATACCCCCCTGTGGCTGAGATAGTGAAGTCAGGGGAGCAGCACCGTTTTCCTGCTGCATTCTGCTGCCATACCTGAATTCAAACCGTAGCTGATGAAGTGCTACCTGACTGTGGAGTCATTTTTGTAGGAAATGTCATAAAACCTTGACGACCTTGTACATTTGGGAAGTGTATAATACCCACGTTTTAGGATATGGTAGTATTATTTGAACCAGATAAAATTCACCCAGGCCATAGATTCTTGCAGCATAAACCTACTACCCAAGATCTTTTTTAAAAAGCCATTAAACTGGAAAGCACACACAACAACCTATCTCCATTTTCATTCTAGGTCGCAGTTCCACAGCATTGCGAATTTGTAGAGCAGAGGCACTTTATTTATTAGGGGTAGAAAAATAGATGGTGATTTCTCTGGAAGCCAAGTTCACTTGCTGTCTACTGGGCTTCACGTGTTGCCCTGAGGGTTGAAAAGGGCAAAGAGAGGTGAGTGGGGTTGGCTCCTGGGAGTGATGCTGTGGACCTGCCCACCTGAGGAGCTTTACCCATTGGGAAGCGTGGTGGTAAAAGTTCTGAGTGATAAGTTCAGAGGCGAAGATGCTGCAGGAGTATGGTTATTAGCACACTGCATTTCTTCATGTGGATTATTTGAAAAATTAATATCTGAGAAAATAACTACAGAGCATAGAGATTTCCACATTAGTGTGAAATTTATTGAAGGCATGGAAGACCTTTTTTTTTCTTTTTTTTTTCTTTTTACTCAATCATACTCTTTCTCTGTGTTTAATCATCCTCTTGAACTTTTGTATTTATTATTGGCCAACCTAATTTTTTGAACATGTGCAAAATCAAATTCATTTTGCATTTACTGAGTGTCAGTCAGTCACTTCTCTGGGTCCTGGAGGTTCAAAGAGAAATAACTGAAAAAGCTGACAGTCTGGTTGCGGAGATAGACACGCATAATCCTAACTATAAGTGCGGAGGAAGGCAATGTGACATGCAAATAGCTTGATGGGTGCAAATGGCAGATGCTAATTCTGGCTACCTTAAGCAAAAGGGATTTTTTTGCAAGATCATCCAGAGCCCCAGTGTCTGACTCATAGAACCAGATTAAAACGATGATCAAAAACCAGGACAGCTCTCTGAGACCAAGAAAAGGCAGACAGTGCCATGATCTTATAACCAGGTGTGTTTGGTCAGGTGACAGCTGCCCTTTTCCCCTCTTTGCTCTGCCCTTACACCATGCTGTTAGTCCAAGATTGGAAGTCCCAACACAGAATTTAAAATTTCACACAAATGAAACCAGTCCCTTTCTAGAAGGAATCTGGACAACGCGGTTCCAAGC